TCAGCCCCGGAGTGCTATCATTTTTTAAATATACATCAGGGTTGGCAATGATGGCAAGATGGCTCAGTGGGTAAAGGCACTTGCCACCAAGTCTTGATAACCTGAATTCCATCCCCGGGTGCCACATAGTAAGAGAAAACTGACTCCTGAAAATTGCCCTCCAACTTCCATACATACACCATGGCACATGTGTACTCCTCCCACAATAAATAAATAAAGTAATAAATGTACACATCACAGCAAAGAGTGCTCCCGGGAACTAAGTTATTTAAAGCAAATCTTCAAATAGGATGCAAAGTCTCTGCCCTTAATTTACACTGTTGCAACAGGAAAGTCCTGATCTTGAGTTTGTATTTTATAAGGAAGGATGCCTAGCTGAGAACTTCTGGAGATTTGGAGTGTTGTTAAAAAAAAAAAAAAAAAAAAAAGATTGTAGGAGTTGGAGAGATGGCTCAGCAGTTAAGAACACTTGACTGTTCTTGCAGAAGACCCAGGTTTGAATCCCAGCACCCACATGGCAGCTAACAACTATCTGTAACTCTAGTTCCAAGGTATGCAACTGCCTCTTCTGTCCTCCAAGGGCATTGCAGGACACGGGTGCACTTACTTACCTACGTGCAGGCAATACACAAATACACACAAAAAAAGAACATTGTAGCTGAACATGATGGTCCATGCTTGTAAATCCAGCACTTGGAAGGTTGAGACCAGAGGACCATAAGTTTAATTAAGGTCAGTCTAGTCTACATAGTGAAACCCTGTGTTAAAAACAAAGCCAATTGTAATTCTGACTTAATTCACTCAGGGAATGCTGATGTCACCTGGTTTGGAATCTGAGTAGCAAAGTTACAGACAGTCTAGGCCCCCACACAATTCACTGCAGAAAGAACCTCAGCATCAATTTTTTCAGCTAAGGCCTCTCCAGGCAGGTCAGTTTCCTATGCAGAGATGGCTGTCCATGCCCAGAATGCTAGGAGAAAGCCAGACACTCCACCACATCAAAAGTCAGAAGAGCCAGCACAAGCACAGCCGGTCAGAAAACAGGGAAGGGGGAGGCCCATCCTTTGATTCTATTATGGTGAAGCAAGCCACCAGGAGGGACATCAGGCAGCCCCATCCCAGAGAAGCTAAACGAGACACATAAGACCCCCGATGTTTAGCATGCAAAAGGGAGTTTCAAATTTGCTCTTGATTACTTTTTATCCGCTTTTCTTGAGACAGGGTCTCACTGTGTAGCCCTGGCTGGCCTGGAACTCAAAGAGATCTGCCTCCCTCTGTCTCCCAGGTATTGGGATTAAAAGCATGCCCCACCATTCTGGGCCCTTCATTCCCTTTACTAATGAACCTGTGTAAGGACCCACTATAACTAAGGTTCTGTGCTAAAGGAATTCTATAGGGGAAACTGAACTGAGACAAAAATATGAAAGGTGTCCTAATATGACACAGTTCAGGGTTGGAGAAGCTGTTAGGAGGCTGCTTACCATACATGCACGAGGCCTTGGGTTCAGTCCCCAGCACTGCATAAAATTGGGTGTTGTGGGTTATACATGTAAATCTAGCACTAGGAAAATACAAGGCAGGAGGATCAGAAGAAGTTCAAGGCTATCTTCAGCTATATAGCAAGTTCAAGGCCAGCCTAGGCTACAAGAGACCCTGTCTCCAAGAGGAGTGGGGGGTGGAGAGGAGGAAGTTGTTGAGGTTTTGAAGTTGTTGGTGGACTGGGCAAAGGAAAGATGAGAGAAGGGAACGTCATGGAACTAAATGGCCCAGAATGGAGAACTTGGTATATTTTAGGAGATGGTGAATAGGTAGCTGGCTGGAATTAAGGTTCCAATACGTTAGGTGAGAAGTGTTTATTATTGAAGACAAATGTAAAGCTAGAAAGGTATGTTAGAAGCAGCCCACAGAAGAGGGAAGAGCAAGAAAGAAGCCTTTATGTAGTCATTACATTTCATCCTCAGCACAGCTCCAGGAAGTGAGCACCTTTACAGAGGAGGCAACCTGAGAGGGTGAGAGAGTGCCTTGCAAGGCATGGTGGCTTACACTTAAAATCCCAATCAGCAGGAAGCTGAGGTAGGGAGATTGTTGCACATTTGAGGCCAATATGAGCTACACAGTAAGTAGCTCAGGCTAACCTAAGCTACAATGTGAAAAGAATGTGTCTCAAAAAAAAGGGAGGGGGGGGAATCTGTCCAGGTCACAGGACCTGTTAATGCGTTTGAGTTTTTGAGTTTGTTTTGCCAAATACTTCATCTCCCTAGCCTGAGCTCTGTCCACCCATTCCTGCTGCTCTAACCAGATCCTCTGTGAGCAATGTGAAGATTACCCTTGCGTTCCCACTGCCAAAGATGCCACTGATAAAAGCAAGTACCAGGTCTGAATTACATACAGACTGTAGAGCCTTGGGGAATGCAATCCTCAGGACAACGTATCCCAGAATGTGACAATTTCTTCAACTCAATTTCTTTAAACATGCAAAAGCCTGGAAGAAAAAAAATCTAAGGATAGGGATAGGGAACAGGGATAGGTGGGAGCCACAGCTGACCAAGAGGATGGTTTTAAGAAGCCTAGGTTTCAAGGTCAGAGAGATGACTCAGGTAAAGGTGCCTGCCATCCTGAGTTCAAACCCCAGGTGAAACATGGTGAAAGAGAACCAACTCCAGCAAGTTCTCCTCTGATCACAAGCTCACTCTGGCATGTGAATAAATAACAAATAAATTAATTAATAAAATAAATGTAATAATTTTTTTTTAAAGAATCCTAGGTCTCATCCAAGTATGGTAGTATACTCCTCTAATCCCAGCACTCAAAAGGTTGAGGCAGGAGGATCACAAGTTAGAGACCAGCCTGGGCTACAGAATGAGTCTGGTGCCAGCCTGGAACTATATAGTGAGATTCTGTCTCAAAAAAAGAAAAAAAGAATTCCAGGTTCCAAACCTTAAGCCTTCTCTTCCTCCATTGCCATCTTTATCACACTAGGGATCTCAAGGTTTGGAAAATAATGCAGCCATTTACAGCATAATTACCCAAACTTCAAAATGGTCTAATCCACAAACCTGACCAGGCTGGGTCCCTAACTCAGGCCTTATTAATAACAAGGTTTCCCTACAACTTCAGTTAATGACACAGTTAAACAATGAGACGGAAAAAATGTACTGTGATCTGTTAAAGAAATCGTTGCCCCCTGAAGTCATGTGTCTGGGGTGGGCAGAGTCTAGGGATTTCACTAGAAGATAGCAGGGGCCTTAGCCTCCTCTGAAATTGTTTACTGTGCATGGACAGGTTCCACACCAAGGCACATTTGGTGGAACTGATTTAAGGCTCTCATTAAAATGTTCCTTTGTTGAGCACAAGACATCCCCCCAACTCCCTCCTATCCCAAGCCTAACATCCCCCCCAAACACCCACCACTGAAGCTAACATCACGAACATCAGTTATTTTCTCATGGAAGGAATTTACAACTGTTGAACAAGGGCCCCTGTCTCCATTAGAATTTCCCTTTGGAGAAAGCAAAACCAGTGCAGCAAAGACAGCAGCCACGTCGAAGGCAGCCACACACCAAAACCCAACCAGCCGACCCAGGAGGCCTGTGAGCTCAGGCTGCTTTGCCCATATGGCTAGGCCCCCATCCTGGCTGTACGAAAAAAAAAAAACTTCCTTACTTCCTCTGGGAGCAGATGTGGGATTTTGCCATGAGCAATAACCACCATACACATAAGGAACACAGGGCAACTCTACCTCGAAACCAGGGGACTGGCTCTCCCCTCTCCTTTTAAAACTAGGGGTGGGGGAGATTTTCTTCTCCAGCCCTTAAACTCCTCAACAGCTGGCTGATGAGAAACGATGACAGAGAAGGCAATTGCCTACCCCTGCCCTCCCAGCTGGCACTGTTCAAAGAGAGGGGAAAATGGTAAGTTAGGGCAGTCCCTTGGAGAGAACACCCCCCTCCTCCAAAGAGGGCTGTTTTGCAGACCACCACTGAAGACTGTTTTGGAAGGTGACAGGGCGTCATTTCCAGTTCTCATGAATGGGATGAGCAGACTGGGTATTTCCGGTTAAAACACTTTCAACACCTCAGTGGTGACTCTCAGGTGTGAGCCAGCCAGGAAATAAAAATCTGCCGTGGGGGGGGGTTGCCCCTTGTTTGCCCTGGAGATGCGGGCCACACCCTCATCAAAGTGCACAGGCCCTCTGTGAAAAAACAGGGTCGAGCTCTTTTTTTTTTTTTTTTTTTGCCTTTCTGCGCTTACAAAATGAGGTTTTTCTTTCCTCCGTGAGTACGGACAGGATGGAAATCCAGGAAGGAGCAAACCCCATCCGCACCTTGGCAGGCCGGCCATGTCCGATTTTGGCAGCGGCCTTCACACATTACTCACCACCGCAGCCTGGGACCCTCCGCTCCCGGGATTCGACCCCGGCACGCAGTGGGACTAAGGTTCGGGCGCCGGGGCGGGGAACAAATGAAGTACCCCTAATTCCATCCTTCTGCACTCACCGGCAGGGACAATCTGGGTTGCAGTTTTGCCCAGAAACTTGCAGGAAGGGAGCCGGGAGCGTCGGGCCGGCATAGGTAACAAAGCTCCGCGCCCGGCGCACCGCAGGTCACTAAGGATCGGGTCCCAGGCGGGTCCCCGTCACCTGGGCTCCGAGGACCGGAGACACCCCGGTAGTACCCTCACCTCTAAGGGGATTGGGGGGGGCATTCCTCCCCGAAGAGTAACTCCCCAGCAGGGCCCGAGAGCTGGCAACTCCCTGCATGGCTGGAGCAAACTCTCGGATCGGCCGGGAGAACTCGGTGGCCGCTGCACTTCGAAGCGTCCGGGAGAGGACCCCGAAAGAGTGCGCGGGGGGCTCCAGGAGCTCTTCCTCCCGGACCTCGCCCCCGCCCCCGTGATCGCCCAGCCCACCTCTCTAGGGCCCCTGCAGCCCTGCAGACTCCCGCGCTCCCTAAAAGCCCGGCTCCATGTACCCCCCCACTCCGGTTCTCTGAGGGACTCACCCGCCAGCAGACGCAGCAGCAGCACGGCGCCAAGCAAGGGCAGCGAGCGGGCGAGGGAGCCCCGTGCAGCGCCCATTGCGGCGGGCTCCCAGGAGCAGCGAGGTGCAGGGCGCACGGCAGGGGCTCGGCGACCGACCCCCGAGGCCGACGCACCAGAGCGCGGGCGCCGCTGCAGCAGCCGCAGCCCGAGCCCGAGGCGTCCCGAGCTGGAGCCTCGCGCGCCAGGTCCCTCCGCCGCCTCCAAGCCACGCCCCCGACGCCCCCTCCCCGTCGGCCGCACGGCGCCCCGCCCCCTCGACGCCCCCTCCTCCCTGCGGTGGCGGGGAGGAGCTCGCATTTGGGGGAGGGATCTGGACCAGGATTGGGGGACAGTGAAAATCTCCAGGGAGTGTGAGGGACCTGCTCGAGGTTGGAAAGTGTGCCAGGTGCCCACCGCGTAGTCTGTCTGCAGGGACCCAGGGCGAGCAAAACGACTCCCACGATTCCGTGGCCCCTGGGGAGGATGGTCACTCTGGACCTACCCGGAGATCAGGACCAATAGTATTCTCCAAGCTGGAGGAGAAAAGCAACCCAACATGCTGCGGGAGACTTAAGCCAGCAGGGTGTCATTGGTGTCCCCAGATAGGATAACGTGGAGATACGGTGAAGCTCCAGAACAGATGTAGCAAGAGAAGGGGGAGGGGTGTGATTGGAGTCTGGTGTGGCACTAGACCAATCTGAACTCAAGGTAGAAACATACAGGGCTCTGAAAATCAGGCTGAGGGCTGTTAACCGGGCAAATTCATCCCAAGTCCATCTCCAGGCAGTCTGGGCTGTGTCAGAGCATGGCCAAATCTCCAGCTGTGGGGAGGCCCAGCACAGCCCTTGTTCCAGGCACCCCCATCCCCCAGCGCCACCCCCCCCCACATTCTTTCTTTGTTGTGAAAGCAGCAAGGGGTGTAGGAGGCGGGTCAGGAGGAGTCGGGCTTTAGAAGATGGGCCCCAGCTGCTGACAGGCCTCCAGGATATGCAAGAGAGGATGGATAGTGCCTTGTCCCCTTCTGGCTCTGGAGGGCCCCCCAGGCTTGCTTAGACCTCCCTTCCCCCAAGCAGCTGGGAGGAGAAAGGAAAGCCACAGAGGGCCTCACAGGCAGAAGTGGCGCCAGGACTCCAGGGTCCTGCCACATGGCCACCACATGTCCCTGACAACCCAGTCCTCAGCACCTTCTCCTTGGGTTGTGGGCCTCCTTCCTCAACCCCCAGATGCTTTCCTCCAGGCCCCACGGGAGAGGGCACAAACGGAGGAAGAGAGGAAAGATCCTAGAATTCAACAGCTCTGCTGCCCCATCCACCACTGCCCTCGCCCTTCTGTGAAGGGCCCCATGCTTCAGTCAGGACTCCAGCAGCAGAAAGTTTACCTGATTCTTTTATTTAAGAAAGAACAACGTGAAATACATGGACCTGATGTGAGGCAGCAGCGGGGAGGGAAGGAGAGGCCAGGACCAGGCAGCTTGACTGGCCAGCCCCAAACCCTCGGACAGAAAAGCTGGCAGCAGGCTGCATCCCTGACATGCACATCTGCTCCTAACTGACCCTGGATGCCTCAGAGCCAGCTACTCTAGAGGACCCCAAGGTAGAGTGAATCCAAGGTATCCTGAGGGCCCTTTGAAAGGGGGATTCCTGAGGAGAGAGCCGAGACCCTACAGGCGATAGCAGTCTTCCTGTAAACTACCCCCTCATCACAGTCCCACCTTGGGAATGCTGTGAGGACTGTGAGGGACCCAGCAGACCCAGGGAGTGGGTTGGATGTCAGCTGCTTGAAGAGAGGTTCATAGTGCTGGCACTGAGCCCCCGAGAGACCTGAAACAGATACCACCACCCATCAGCATGAGGAGCTCAGCCCCGTGAGAAAAGACTGTCTCCTGGAGTCCATCCATCCCACAGTTGCAGTGTACCCCTCAACCCAGGATGGAACCTATCACCTCAACCCCAAGCTTGGGGGCTTTGCTCAGTCTCTGCTGACATCTTCCTGAAGGCCACAGTCTGGTGGAGAAACTACCAGGAAGGGACACAAGAATATTGGTTTGGACTGTCCATGAGCTGACTTGAGAGGTTACTGCTATTAGAACAGCATTGCTGTTTTCTCTTCTTTTTCCTTCCTCACTGACTAATAAGTCCTCAAGAGAAGGAGTATGGCCACTGCAGAAGGAAGACCAACCAGTATCTCCAAATCATCCTTGAATTATTCATAATTCCAAAGTATCACTTCAGACAGCACAAATTGCTAGTCTACTCCCGATTAACTTGCTACTATGTCTGGCCTGAAACTGTCTCTTGGTGGCTACCATCCCCCAACACCATGCTGGAAGCCCCATTCCTGAAGGACTCCAATTTCCCAGGCCATCTTCTTCTCTGATGACCCTGGCTTTCCCTGGGCCTGTCGGGGCTTCCCACTGTGCTGGCTTCCCTGTCCCCCGCCCCACCAGCCTGCTCAGCACTGTACTCAGCACTGCTCTCACCTGGAGCGGAGCTGTACTGGGTTGATTCAAGTAGTTGAGGGAGGCTGCCCGCTTCATGTTGCTGCTACAAGGAAGAAAGAAAGAGCAAAGGCCTCCTCTCTTTGTCCTGAGTGGTCCTAAAGTGGCAGACCTCTTGAGCACAGCCACATGTGACACAGCCACATGAAGTAGAATTATTGCCTCCTCACAGTCTCTCCCTCTCCCTCTTCCTCTCCCCACCCCCACTCCCCTTGCGCACACCCCCACACACACACCCCAAGCACATACCAGGTGCCTCATCCCCTCAGCTACTATCATCCCCCACTGAGGCATCCATTCTGCCCAAACTGTTTCCATGGCCATCTCACTGTCCCTCCAAGACACCTCTTAGGGATCAGGAACTAAGAGGAACAGCAGGCAGCGGTTTACTTATCTACCTTACCATACCTCAACCTTATCATGTACCTGGAAGGCCGAGGCTCGGACCCTTGGAGCTTCCTCACCAGGAGTTCACTGCTTCTACGAAGGACATCCCGGATCTTGCCCAGAGAGCCACTTCTCTGAAGGGTCCCACTGCCATCCTAACAGAGAGATGGGCAGTGGAAACTAAAGAGATTCAATGTAGACTGGCTTCGGAGTCTTCTCTTGCCATTTATTCTGTACATGTCCCCTGTCCCCAAAGCCCGATTGAAAACAAGCATCTTGTCAAAAGCCAATTCCCAGCAATAGGCCTGAAGGGACAACATGCCTGCATCTCCTACACAAGCTGGAAAAAGGCAGACTCAGAGCCTCTCACCACAGCAAGAGAGGGCAGGAGAGACCAAGAAGCAATCAATGAGTAGACTTACCCCTGACCACTCCACAGCCACAGATGCATCTTCACCTCCCTCAAACTTGACGCTGTCCCCAGGGCCCTCCTGGGAGGCCCTTCTAGCCTCACCTTCCCCTAGCAGCTCTGCCACCTTGGTCTGGCTGATAGGGTCAGTACCCTGGAAGGAAAAGGAATGAGCTGGGACTCCTATTCCTGGCCTCCCCAGGATGTGGCTTTCAGTCTTTTTTTCCTGCATCATCCACTGCAAGGACAGCATTTCTCCTCATTGTGCCCCACTTATACAACCACTAGGCAGTATTCACCCTGTCTAAGTGAAGTGCATACCTACACAGACACACATGAAAGGACTCCATGTCCTACTAATCAGTTGAGACCCGTAATTTGAGAAATTCTGACTTAGGTCTCTCCTCAACCTCACCTCCTTCACCCATACCACCCACATGATAGGGAGGAGTTGCCCCTCTATGGCCCCAGTTAATAAAGGCTATTTTGTTTATGTGTATTCCTATACATTATGTGTGTAGGCCAGAGGTCGATGTCAGGCTTCTTTGATTGCTCTCTTTCTAACCTATTTATTTATTTTACATGTATGAGTGTTTGCCTGCATGTATTTAAGTGTACCTGTGTCATGAAATGCCTGCAGAGGCCAGAAAGGGGGGGGGGGTTATTAGCCACCATATGGGTTCTAGGAACCAAACCCAAGTCCTCTGCAAGAGCTGCCAGTGCTCTTAACCAGCCCCCTCTACCTTATTTTCTGAGACAGGGTCTCCCACTGAACCTAAGAGTTTGCCATTTGACTAGACAGGTTGACCAGCAAATCCCAAGAATCTTCCTGTCTTTGGCTCCCCAACTCAAGTCCTCATATTTTACTGACAAGAACTTTAATGACTAAGCCATTTCCCCAGCCCCCCCAATTTGATTTATTATTGTGTATGATGGGGGTACACACATGTGGCATCCCACATTTGTGGAGGTTGGAGGATTAACTTCATGGAGTCAGCTCTCTCCTTCTACCTTTAAAAAAAGGGGGGGCAGGGGGAGGCTAGAGAGATGGCTCAGCAGTTAAGAGCACTGGCTGCTCTTGCAGAGGATCCAGGTTTGATTCCCAGCACCCATATGGCGGCTAAGAACTGTCCTTAACTCCAGTTCCATGGGAATCTGATGCCCCCTTCTGGCCTCCACGGCATTACATGACTCAGATGCACTCATGCAGGAAATACACTCATATACATAAAATAAAAATAGTACATAAGGGGGCTGGAGAGATGGCTCAGTAGTTAAGAGCACTGACTGCTCTTGCAGAGGACCCAGGTTCGATTCCCAGCACCCACATGGCGGCTATGAACCGTCCTTAACTCCAGGTCCAGGGGAATCCGAAGCCCTCTTCTGACCTCCACAGCATTGCACGACACAGATGTACTCACATACATGCAGGCAATACACTCATACACATAAAATAAAAAAATAATAAAATATTTTTAAAAAATAATAAGATAAATTTTTCTTATTGCCTTTTTGAGACAAGGTCTCCCTGTAGCCCTAGTTGACCTGGAACTCGCTATGTAGACCAGGTTGGCCTGGAACTCACAGATATCTACCCGCCTCTGCCTCCCAAGTGCTGGAATTAAAGATGTGCACCACCATGCCCAGCAATAAATAAGATTAAAAAATATTTTTTTAAGGCCTGGTGAAATGGCTCAGTGGTTAAGAGCACTGGCTGCTTTTGCAGAGGACCCTGGTTCAGTCCCAGCACCCATATGATGGCTAACAACCATCCATAACTCCAATTCCAGGGGGATTCAGTGCCCTCTTTTTTTTTTTTGGTCTTTTTGAGACAGGGTTTCCCTGTAGCCCCAGCTGTCCTGGAACTCACTATGTGGACCAGGCTGGCCTTGAACTCAGAGATCCGCCTGCCTCTGTCTCCAGAATGCTGGGATTAAAGGCATGCACCACCACACCCGGCCTACTGCACAACACAGGTGTACTTATACTTCATACATGCAAAACACTCATACACACACATAAATTTTTAAAAGACTGATTTTATTATTTATGTGTATATGCACATGTGTGTAGGTGCCTATGGAGGCCAGAAAAGGGCATCAGATCTCCAAGAGCTGGAATTACAGTGGTTGTGAGCTACCCAGTGTGGGTGCTAAGAACCTAACTCAGATCCTCTGGAAGAGCAGCAAGTGCCTTTACCCACTGAGCCATCTACTGGCACTGTTTTGTTTTGTTTTGTTTTGTTTTGTTTTGTTTTGTTTTGTTTTGAGACAGACCTTACTCTGAAGCCCAGGCTAGCCTCAAACTCATAGTAATTCTTCTGCCACAGCTGCCTGAATGCTAGGATTACAGGCATGAGCCACCATGCCCAGCTTTGAAAGGAATCTTGAACTTGGCATTCTGACACAAGGGGCAAGTCTGGAGTGAAATCATGCTTAGAAACCCCACCACAGACACAAGACTGCCTCACCTTCCTCTCCCTCCTGTCTACCCTATCAGCTTTTCAGGTTATTCTCAACACAGTCACAGAAACTCCTCATCAGTCCCTGTCCCCAGGCCCTTCCTTCTTGACCCTTCTACTCTGGGATTATGTTTTTATTTTTGTTTCGAACAGGATCTTGCTAAGTAATCAGGGCTGGCCTGGACCTCAATATGTAGACTAGGCTGGCCTCAAATTTGCAGTGATCTGCTAGCCCCTGCCTCCTGAGTGCCAGGATCACAGAGATGCACCACTACCCCACAGTATGGGTTTCTGACCTGTTTCCGGGATCGCAGGGCACATTCCTCCAGGGTCTCGGCTGCCTCCAGCTTCCCCTGGCGCCTGTACAGAGCTCCTAGGTTTCTCAGAGTAGTGTTCACTGTGGGGCTGCAGGAGTGAGGACAGGAAGGCAGAGAATGATTCAGAAAAGGAGTGCTGAGGGCATAGCTTGATGGTAGAGCACTTGCCTAGCATGCACAAGGCCCTGGGATCATCCTAAGCACCACAATAAAACAACAGAAAAGACAGGAGGGGGGCAGAAATAAAGTTGAGGCAAAGTCAAAGGGAAGATGGCTCTGGGATCAGGGCTTGGGACAAAGGAGCATCAGAGGCCAAACCGCTGATCCCTAGCAGCTCACCTGCTCACTTTGCAGGCCTTGTACCAGCCTCCATACTCTGCATAGGGTGTGCTGCCCTCATGGTGCCGGCTCTGTACATAAGAGAACAGAGATGCTGGGAGGCTAAGATGCAGGCTGGGTTAGGAAAGGCACTATGCATCTGGGGTTGGGGCAGGAAGTGAGGAGCTAGGCTAACACAAGGATCAAGACAGAAGCCCAGCCTTGGGCTTCCCAGGCTGGGTCCCCCACTCACTCTGCTCATCTCCTCCCGCTCCTCGGCATGCATCCAGATGGGCTTGTGGTCATCTGGGGATGATACATTGAATGAGGAGGTAAGAGAATGGATCCAGATAGTATGTGGGGAGCCAGCACCCATAGGCCAACAGGGCTAGACTAAAGGGGTCTAGCTATCCCCTTTAGACCCCACATTTGGTCTACATTCCCCCCCCACACCCCTACTCTATCCTCTCCCCAGACCTCACACTCACCATCCACAGGCCCAAACTCCTGTACGTGGGCTCGGGTCAGGATCTCTTTGTATAGAGTCTCAGCCTCGGCATATTTGCCCTGTTTTAGGTAGCAGGAAGCCTGGGAGGCAGGACAACAAAAATACAGAATCAAGAGATGGAGGGACACAGGTCTTAACCAGATTCAGGGAGTTCTACTTCTTGGTGTCTTTCCCCAGAGACCTTCTTCATACAGCCTTTTCTAGCTTCTACATGAAAATTATTCCCACCAGGATCTCAAACTTCTGCCAGTAGAACAAAACAGACCCTTTGTCATAGAGGCAGCCCCAGAGTTAGGCACGAAGTTGGCAAAAGGAATGTGTTCCATTCTGACTCTTTCCAAATCCAGGACCCAGGTGGCCTTTCCCTCCTTCCACCCACCTTGTCCCTTCCTCCCTTACCAGGTTGTTCTTGGTCCGAGCTACATTAGGGTTGTCTGGCCCCAGCTGCCCCTCATAGATGGCCAGTGCCCGCTGGTAATAGCGTTCCACAGCATCGTATTTGCCCTGGTTTTGGCAAAGTAGGGCCAAGTTGTTCAGCTGCTTTGCCACATCTGGGTGGTCAGTGCCCAGGACCTGAGGAAGAGCAGAGGACTAGATAAATGACTGTGACTATGTGCGTACATGCACATGGGGAGCAGAAGGAACAGAAGGAACAAGGTAGAGAGACAGAAGTCAGAATAAAAACGGGGAGGGGAGACAGAGGAGTCCTGAGGAGGGGGACAGGATGGATGACAGGGACGATGCATACCTTTTCTCGGATCTCAAGTGCCCGCTGGCACAGTGGCTCTGCCTCCTTGTATTTGCCCCTTTTACCATACAGCACAGCCAGATTGTTGAGTGTGGCAGCCACCTGCAAAGGAAGGCCGAGCCCCATCAAACACCTATGCTGCAAAGGCAAGGAAACTGAAGCTTCCTCTGTGCACAGCAGGGCCCAGGACAACATCAAGATATGTGGACTGGGGGCTGGTGAGATGGTTCAGTGGGTAAAAGCATTTGCTGCCAAGCCTGAGGACCTGGGTTCATGATGAGGGAGAGAACTAACTCCAGCAAGTTGTCCTCTGACTTCTGGATCTCTCTCTCTTTCTCCCTCCCTCCCTCCCTCTCTCTCTTTCTCTCTCACATACACAGACACACAGACACACAGACATACAGACACATACACAAAATGTAATGTTAAAAAAAAAAAAGAAAGAGAGAGGGGCTCTGCCACCAGAGCCTGAGGCTGGCTGGGAAAAGCAGAAACTACAAACAGGATGGCTGGGGCTCTAAGGGGTAGTATTGCCCTCTAGAGGGATTTTTAGAAATTCTGAAGGTGATTTTTAGATTGCAATACAGCCATGGGAAGGCAAGAAAGCTGTGCACGTGTGGTGCAGCTCTGGCAACTTCTGAATGTCCTGCCAGACAGTCAAGCACTGAGTAGAGGTGCTGACTCTTCATTGGGTAGGTGTCAAGATACGAGATGGGTCAAGAGATGCATCATCCCTGCCAATGAAACACTGCCTCATATGGGAATTATTTTCACAGGTCAGCTCACTTCCAAAAACTACGTCATATTTTATTTTTCCATTTTTTCCCATATTTTATTTTCCCATATTTTATTCTCCATTATATACCCTGGCATCTGTCCCTACTCATAGTTATTTCTAGAACTCTCTATTTTTTTTAGTTTTATTATTTTTATTGTATGTGTATGCATGTATTGCCTGCATGTAGGTAAGTGCACTCATGTCTTGCAATGCCCGTGGAGGTCAGAAGAGGCTGTCTGATCCCCTGGGACTGGAGTTATGAATAGTTGTTAGCTGTCATGTGGGTGCTGGGATTCGAACCTGGGTCTTCTGCAAGAACAGTCAGTGTTCTTAACCACTGAGCCATCTCTCCAGCCCCAAGAACTCTTTATTTTTACTTACATTTATTTTTGTGTGTGCACACACACATGTGCACACCACAGCATGCATACACACGTGTGCACACCACAGCATGCATATGGAGGTCAGAAGACAACTTGCAGGAGTTGGTTCTCTCCTTTTACCATATGGGTCCTGGGACTGAACTCAGGTCGCCAAGCTTGCCAGTAGATATCACCCACTGAGCCATCTTGCCAGCCCATATTTCTAGAACTGTTTCTCTCTCTCTCTCTCTCTCTCTCTCTCTCTCTCTCTCTCTCTCTCTCTCTCTCTCTCTTTGGTCTTTTTGAGACAGGGTCTCCCTGTAGCCCAGGTTGTCCTGGAATTCACTATGTAGACCAGGCTGGCCTTGAACTCACAGAGATCCACCTGCCTCTGCCTCCTGAGTGCTGGGAGATTAAAGGCGTGCACCACCATGCCTGGCATTCTTTTTTAAAATTTGTATTTATTATTTTATGTGTATGAGCGTATTGCCTATATGTGTGTTAAGTGCACCCATGTTGTGCAGTGTCTGTGGAGGTCAGAAGGGGGTGTCTGATCCCCTGGAACTGGAGTTATGGACAATTGTTAGCTGCCATGTGGGTACTGGGAATCAAACCCAGGATCCTCTGCAAGAGCAGTCCATGCTCTTAACCACTGAGCCATATTCCCAGCCCCACTGTTTCTCTTTTATACATATAAACATGATCTGTGATTATTTATAATAATTATGTTTTTCTTGCTTTTGTTTTTGAGACATAGTCTCCTATAGCTTTGGCTAGCCTGGAACTTACTATGCAGATAGACCAGTCTGGCCTCAATGAGATCCATCCATCTCAGCCTCCCAAGTGCTGGGATTAAAGGCATGTGCCATTGCTTCCAGTGTGTAATACTGTATTCTAATAAAGGATCCACCCATAATTACTTCATTTTTAGTGCTTTTTACATATGATAAATAGTTCACCTGTCTTAATTCTTCTATAATAAATCCAAAGGTCATTCAATATCAAGATTACCTTATGTTCCCAGCATAGTTGTGTTCAGATATTATTGTATAGTATTTATCTTATATACTTTCTGTGATTATAATTTACTTTTCATATCTTTTATAATTATTATAATGTCCTATTAATTTTTTGGAAATCATAAAGATAGGAGATAATATTTATAAATTCAACTTCAGAAAAATATTCACCATCAAAAATGAGTTAGGTGTAGTGATGCATACCTTTAATCCCAGGACTAGGGAGGCAGAGGCAGAGACAGGTAGATCTACAGCTTGGTCTACATACAAGTTCCAGACTAGCTGGGGCTACAGAGAGACCCTGTCTCAACCCGTCCCAGAGAGAGAGAGCATTAATGGGGACTGGAGAGATGGCCTAGTAGTAGAGAGCTCTTGCAGAAGACCTAGGTTCAGTTCCCAGTAGTCACATGGCAGCTAACAATTGCATGACACAGGTGTACTTACATATATGCAGTTGAAACACTCATACACATTAAATAAAAATAAATTCCCCCCCAAATTTTAAAATAATAAAAAAAAATTTTTTTGGTCTTTTTGAGACAGGGTCTCCCTGTGGCCCCAGCTGTCCTGGAACTCACTATGTAGACCAGGCTGACCTTGAACTCACAGAGATCCGCCTGCCTCTGCCTCCCAAGTGCTGGGATTAAAGGCGTGAGCCACCACGCCCAGCAAAAATTTAAAAATAAATAAAATAGTTACTGGGGAAAGGAAGACAAGAAATGGAAGCAAGAAGGAAAAAAACCAAAGTATATCACATACATGCATGAAATGCCATGACTGAACCCATTATTTTGTACACTAATAAAAATGTAAAAAACAAAAAGAAGTCATTGAGTCTGAAAGAATCTAGAACCACTGAGTTCCCTAGCAGAGTCAGAAAGAAAGGAGTGCTCATGTCTCCTGCATAAGCAGCTGTGGTGAGTGGACCAAGGGCAGTACACTGAGGGGATTCAGCACAGCAGGGACAAGAGAATAATGAGAAACAGGAAAAGGGCCAGGAATACTGACAGCGGGGTGGTCCCGGCCCAGGGTGCTCTCTCGAATGCTCAGGGCATCATTCAGCAGATGGGCAGCTTCTTTGTACTTATTCTGGTCCCTGGAAGAAAAACAAAAGTGACAGGTGTCATCATGAACTCTGTCCCCAGGCTAGCTCCTCCTCTTTGGGAGGACTGGGATACACTTAAAGACTGGGAGGTTCCCTGAAGCCAGAAAGCCTGGTGGAGCACGAAGAGAGCATCACTGACACACTCCCACAGCTGCAGAATGTGGTTATCCCAAGAGGAATCTACAAGTCTTAGGAAGCAAGACATAGAAACAGAGAAAAAGATAAACACTCTCCAGAGATCAGAGAAACAAAAAGCCTGAGAGATGGGCGTTCTCTGAGGTCAAGGGTTTAGGATTGAAAATATGTGGGTTCTGGTACCTTTGCAGGGTACATCTCAGAGACCCAGCAGAAAGGGGAGGTGCCCCGGGAGTCAAAGCAGGAGGAGGTGGGCATGCGGGCTATTCTGGATGATGGAGGAGGGCAGTGCTTACCGATACACCAAAGCGAGGATGTTGAGCATAGTAGCAACATCAGGGTGGCCACGGCCAGATGTGCGCTCCAGGTCCTCTAGCGCCTGCTTGCAGAGTGGCACGGCTACCTCGTAGCGACCCTGGGCTGCATACTGGATGACCAGGTTGTGCAGGGTCCGCAACCTTGCTGGGATCTCATATCCGCCCTGCTGGGCTGCTGTAGCACCCTGGCCACGAGACACTAACACATCCCAAAAAGGACAGGACATTTCCTCAGCCAGGACTCTTCCTCTCCCTACCCTACCTGCCCTACTGCCTGCCCTACCCTCTGCCCACCCTTTGTCTCTCTGCTGCCCCCAACCAGGCTCTCAAAGGAGACTTGATGCCACTGCTATTATTTTATCCACTCTCTTGCACATGTGTCTATCACAATCCTATTTGCTCTCTCAGTCATTTATTCATTCAACTAACGTTTACCCAATAAACATGAACTAGCAACGCCCAGCAGTGCAGAGGTAGGAAAGACTTGGTTCTTTTGCTTGAAGAGGAAAGGGTTATTCTCCACTAGACTGTGAACTTATTGGTGAGTCCAGTGTTACTTTCATCTTGGTATTCCTGGCACATGGCATATAGTAAGTATCGAATAAATGTTCAGGAGGGGCCAGAGGGATGGATCAGCGGTCAAGAGCACTTGCTACTCTGGGAGACGATCTGGGTTTTGTCCCCAGCACCCACATGGCACCTGTAACTTCAGTTCCAGGGGATCCAACACCCTCTTTTGGCCTCCACAGGCACCAGGCACGTATGTGGTACACATCATACATGCTGGCAAATGCTCATGCACATAAAAAGATGTGAGTGAGTATAGGGGAGGCTGAGGAAATCAAGTTAAAGCCTGGAGCCTGTCCCATTTCCAAAGGACATGGAGAATTATTTCTGAATGGAGAAGATCCTATGCACAGAGTGGGTCACTGCTGGACCCAGCCTCCTGCTGTTGCTCATCACCCTCCAACCCCAGAGGCAGACTCACAGCCATTACTAGAGTCCTCTTCCTCTTCATTGGGGAAGAGGTCATCTAGCGAATCCTTGGTGGCATCTCCCTCCTTCTCCTCCTGGAAGGAAAGGCACAGCATAGCAGGCCCCAGTGGCCTCTTAAAGGGTTTCTCTAAGCCACAAAAATCACTAACATATGGGGCCCAAGAAAAGATCCTTGTTTCAGCCTCCACCTCTGGACAGCCAAGTCCAGAGCTTGAGTCAGCCAAGCTCAGGTCTCTTGTTTGTAAAAGCCAGAGATGCCTTGGACAAAATCTCATGACTTTCCTTTTTCCTTTCACATCCACAAAGTTCCCTTCCTCACACCCTCATTCCCCAACCCCCCATCTCTAGCACTCACCTCTTGTAATTATAGCCCCATGCTGATCTCTGCATGTTTACATTGATTATATGTCTGTCCTGTCTCTCCTGAGGGGAAGGAGTGTGTCTGATCTTATTGACACGTACCCAGTGTCTAGCTCAGCCTTGTGCCTGCCATCTGCCTCTACTCACCCTGTACTTGGGGCCTAGCCCTTACTGTCTAACCTATTTCCACACTGGAAAAAATGGGCTTTTCTCCATCAGGGATAACAGCCTTATACATAGACTTCCAACTCTCCTACCAGCTTCCACAGTGTGACCCAGGCAAATCATCTCATTTTCCCTGGGATGGGTCAGCTCTGTAACCCTGGAGTCTTACCTGTGATACCTTCCTCAAGCTTAGAAAGCTCCTCTTTCCCCATATCATCTGCCAAAATCCAGGCCAATTTCCAACCCATTCAAATGAACATTTCAACCTGCTACCCAATTCTGTACCCTACCTCCTCTGAACTGTCTTGGACCAGCCTAGCTCTCAGGGACTCAGGCACATGGAGTTCCCTCTAAAAGGAACTATTCATCCAGGCTGCTCACTTGCTGCTTTGCCTTGTCACATACATGTTCTTATGTATAAGCTTAGCTCCCTACAGATACACTATAAACTTGGGAAGGCAGGAACTTTTGATAGATCTTAATATCTCCTCTATAAGGCACATAAACACCTCTTCTGTGAATATGGGATTTCACAGTTTGAGAGCAAATTTTTAAGGGGGTTGTCTTTTGCTTAAAATGGCTATGTGGGGCTGTAGAGATGCCTCAGCAGTTAAGAGTACTGGTTGCAGCCAGGCATGGTGGTGCACACTTTTAATTCCAGCACTCAGGAGGCAGAGGGGTCTCTATGAGTTCAAGGTCAGCCTGGTCTACATAGTGAGTTCCAGGCTAGCTGGAGTTTCAGCAGACCCTGTCTTAAAAAAAAAAAAAAAAAGAGTACTGGTAGCTCTTGGAGATGACCTGGGTTCGATTCCCAGCACCCACGTGGCAGCTAACAACCGTCTATAGCTCCAGTTCCAGGAAATACAACGCCCTCTTCTGACATCCTCAGGTACTGCATGACACAGGTGCACCTGCATGCAGGCAATACACTCATACACATAAAATTAAATTAAAATGAATAAAATATTTAAAATGGGCTATGCTTTCCCTAACTGTACAACTTAGGCTTCTGGGGTAGAATTTGTCCATTTGCTTTCTTTCTCCCTTCACAAACCTGTAACTGTGAGAAAAGGAACTGTCCATCCTATTCATCAGGGGTACACAGGGCCTAGTACATGCGGGCATTTAACTAAATGCTGATTGAACAAGTCAAGATTGTTTCCCATTTGTTGGAGTCAGTATCAAGACTAAAAGTGGCCAGGCGTGGTGGCACAGACCTTTAGTCCCAGCACTAGGGAGGCAGAGGCAGGTGGGTCCCTCTGAGATCAAGGCTAGTCTGGTTTCCATAGCGAGTTCCAGGCCAGTTGGGGATACAAAGAAAAAAAAAAAAAAAAAATGGATCTCTGTGAGTTCGAGGCCAGCCTGGTCACCATAGTGAATCCAGGACAGCTGGGGCTATAGGGAGACCCTGTCTCAAAAAGAGCAAAAAATAAATAAATAAATAAATAAATAAATAAATAAATAAATAAAGGGCTGGTCATAGGGTGTAGTGGCACATGCCTTCAGTCCCAGCATTCAGGAAGCAGAGGGATCTCTGTGAGTTTGAATCTAGTCTGGTCTGCTCATCCAAGGATGATGGAGTATCTGCCCTGATTGTGGTCCCAGCTGCCTCTCCCCAACAAACCCTGCCTGTGCATGCTCACCGTACTGTGCCCATCCTCATCATACTGCCGTAGCTGCCCCAGGAACTCTAGGTGCTTCTTTTCCTCCTCCAGTTGAGCCACTGCCTGCTCGCTGCGTTGTAGCCGCTGCTGAGTGCCTGCCAGCTCATCCCGGAGCCACTGGTTCTCCTGGCACAGTCGCCGTACCTGAGCACGCAGCTTCTGCTTCTCTGACTCCACTGTGCTCAGGTGGCTGGCAAGAGCCAGCATCACCTAGGTAGGAACATCATGTGAGCTCCAGTGTCTGGGTAAGAGCATTCAGGGACAGGTGGTGATCGGGGAGAGAGGACAGAGTAGCAATGGCCCTACCATCAAAAGGTGCTCTGGATCCCATCTTTTACCACCTCCACTGCCACTACCAGAGGCCAAACCGATTCCTATCAGATCACTGCAATAGCCTCTTCCTTGGTCTCTGGTTTCTGCCCTTATTGTCTAGTTTACTCTCAACTCAGTAGGCAGATGATTTCAAGTTGAACCTCATCATTCTTCAAAACATCCCAACAGTTCCTATCTCTCTCAGAATAAAAGCCAAGTCCTTATGACAGCCAACCAGTTCCAGGTCCATGTGATCTGCATCCTCCAATGCTATCCCCCCTCATGCTTACTGTTCTACTTTGTTTCCCCTTGTTCTGGTTTGTTTCTCCATTGCTGTGACAAAACACTCTGACCACCAACAACTTGGGGAGGAAAGGGACATCTCCCGGGTCACAGTTCATCCAGGAGCCCAAGGTCAGGAACCTGGAGGCAGGAGCTGGAGCACAGGCCATAGAGGAATGCTGCTTACTGGCTTGCTCCCCTGGCCCCTGCTCAGCCTGCTTTCTTATGCAACACAGGCCCACCTGCCCAGGGGTGGCACCACCCACAGTAGGCTGAGCCCTCCCACATCACTCATCAAGAAGATGTCCTTCAGACATGGCCACAGGCCAGTCCAATAGAGGAAATTCCCCAATTGTGGCTCCCTCAACCCAGGTGTGTCAACTTGACACTAAAGCTATCCAGCCCACCCCTTGTTCACCATTCACTCTGCTGAAAGGCACACTGGCCCCTGGCTATTCACTGAAATTGCCAGCCAGCCTTTGCAGTTGGTCCCTCTGTTTAAGACACTCTTCCTTTTTTACTGCATAGTTCATTTCCTCGCCTTCAAATCTGTGCTCAAATGTCACCTTTTGAGTGAAGACTTTTATGACCCCTCTATCTTAAATTGCACCTCTCTCCATACTTCTGTTTTATTTTTATCTTTTTATCCTTAGCAATTATCACTCTGACAGTGAATCATTTACTTATTTACTTGCATACTGTCTCTTCCAACCTATAATATCAGCTCCAAGATGGCAAAGGATTTTACCGCTGTGTTCTATGATACATTACCAGTGCTCAGAAGAGTTCCCAGTACACAATAGGCACTTAATAGATACTTAGTGAATGAGTGAATACAAGTGCCTAGGACAAGGTGATCCCAAATGTGCAATCCCACAACTGAGCCTCTATGTACCCTTGACCACTTGGCAGCACCTCTGTTCTCTTACCTGGGCCTCACTCAGTCCCAGTTCAATGTTCTCCATAGACTGTCGAAGCTGACGTGCCTTCTCATGAACCAGCCCTTCCTCATGGCCTCCCTGCTGTAGACACTCAATGGTGTGGGATAAGCTTTGCAGCACAGCCTGATGTTCACTATGTAGGGCCTCCAGCCCTTGGCTCACCAGCCTGGTACTGCCCAAGATCTCCTCTTGGCTGAGCCGGTGCCCTGTGGGCTCATCCCGCTGCCCCAACACTAGGCCTGACATCCTGGCCAGGGGGGTCTTGCCTGGACTAGAAAGAAACCAGAGTTCAGCTGGGTAAAAATGAAAGACATGCTAAGCACATTTCTTAGAAGGCGGTGAAAGCTGAGTGTGGTGGTGCATGCCTTTAATCAGCACTCAGGAGATAGAGGCAGGCAGATTTCTGTGAGATTGAGGCCTTCATGGGCACTACATACATACCAGTAAACATACCAGCAATCAAAACACTTGGACAAATAAAAATAAATAAATCACTTAAAAAAAAATAAAAGATGCTGGGGATCCAAGTGAAGAGACAAGAGTATGGGGGGAATAGCGAGATGGCTCAGCAGTTAAGAACACTGGCTGCTCTTGTAGAGGACCTGAATTCCAGTTCCCAGCACCCACACGTTGGCTAACAACCACCTGGAACACCAGTTCCCAGTGATCAGACGCCCTCTTCTGGCTTCCACTGGCATTGTATGCACATGGTGCACTTATATACATGCAGGAAAACACTCATACATATAAAATAAAAATAAACTTTAAAAAAGACAAGAGCCGGGAGTGGTGGCGCATGCCTTTAATCCCAGCACTTGGGAGGCAGGCGGATCTCTGTGAGTTCAAGGCCAGCCTGGTCTACATAGTGAGTTCCAGGACAGCTGGGACTACCGGGAGACCCTGTCTCAAAAGACCAAAAAGAAAGAGACAAGAGTATGGGAAAGCCTGTGGCTAAGTCGGAGAAAGATAATGACCATATAAGGTCTGTACCACTAAACGTAAAGCTAAGGTGGGAAAAGAACTGACTTAAATGAAGAAAATCTGTAGAAGGAACAAACGTGTTTAGAGAGCTAACAGAAGAATTTAGGACTTGAGCATGGGTTACAAAAAAGAAGCAGGGAAGGCCAGGCGTGGTGGCGCACGCCTTTAATCCCAGCACTCAGGAGGCAGAGGCAGGTGGATCTCTGTGAGTTCAAGGCCAGCCTGGTCTACACAGTTCCAGGACAGCTGGGGCTACAGGGAGACCTTGTCTCAAAAAAGCCAAAAAAAAAAAAAAAGAAGAAGAAGCAGGGGATCAGGGGCATTGTAGGGATGACAGAGAGAATACAAAGGAACTGTGCAGAAAACAGTGAAGACTAAGGTGTGTAAGTGTATGGGGGGGGAGATAAAAGAGAAGCCCTCACTACAGGGCACAGATGATGAGGGCTCCAGAAGGTTCAAGGTCTTCAGGGTGTGTCACACACCAGACAACCCACCGAACGACTGAGCCCAGCATCTCCAAACCTGGTTAGCCTTGTCCCTTTCTAACTAACCTTCAGACCATACTTTCCACCCCCCAGGACTCAAGCTGTGTTTCTACTTCCTCAAACCCATCTCAATTTTCATCGTTGACGTCCCCTTACCTGTGTAAAGAGCAGAGCCTCTGGTTGCCCACAGCTCCCAGGCCTGAGTGGGGAAGAAGGAGGACCTGCCCTGCCCAAAGTCCAGAAGTCCGGCAGTCCCTCCCCTTCTCTCCCACTTCACAGCTACCCAGAGGACCTGGCACACAGCCACACCCAGGGACAAACACCCTCCCTCCTTCTGCCTGCAGGTTCTTCTGAAACTACCAATGTCCCTCCTTCTTCCTCAATGCAGTCTCCCCAATCCAGGCCTGAAGGAGCTACTTTTTCCCAACAAGGGAATGAAAGATTGATTTAATCAGAGACCTGTGGCAAGGGGTGTGACTGGGAAAGGCTGGGAAGGGAGACCCGGTCATTCCTAGGCTGCTTAGGATTCCCATCTGGGTTACTGCAATAGCCTCCTTTCATGGCTTTGTCTGTCAAGATCACCTAGTAACAAGCACCTAATGTGCCTCCCAAGTGCCGGATGGCGCAGAAGTAGCCTATCTGCTGAACACTGCGAGGTCACAAAAGGCGCTGGGAGCTGATCACCCTGACCTGGGTCTGCAGCACCGCAGTGTGGAGGATTGCTAACCTGCCCTGAGGCCCAGGGTATGGACAGAGTGAGACTGGCAGGGACCCAAGATGGAAAGTGTGGGTGAAGGCAGAGTCTCCAGGAAGAGACCACAGCGGACAAGCCCGAGGTCACCTGTACAGCCACCGCGCAGGGGGCGGGGCAAGCCGTCAGTCCCTCGGTCCGTCTGGATGCCGAGGGGCGGGGAAGAATCGCGGGGGGCGGAGTTTTTGAGTCAGTCTGGAGTTTTGTGAGGTTGGTCGGAAGTGATTTATTCATCTATCCGGGAGAACAGGAATAAGAATTGGTGGGACCCTTAATCCTCAGCCCCCAGGGGTACTTGCAAAGACTCACCTGCAGTCTGTCGGTCTGCCTGTCGCCTTGGTTGGTACTGCCCCTTTAAATCCATCATGGCTGCCGCTCGAGGCAATTGTTTTGACGGCTCTGAGGGGCGGGGCCGGATCACCGGTCACGTAACTGTAGCAAACCACCGCCCCCCCACCCCGCATGATTGGTTGAAGCTTCGCTCAAAGAGGAAAGGAAGCTTGTATCACGCCGGGCTCCAGTTGTGTAACAGCCCTACGTCATTGGAAAGCGACGGCGCCGGGGGCGAAACGTCATCTGAGAGCGCCAGGCTCCTGCGTAAAGGTAATGGCACGCTGAGTCCCGAGGATCCTGGCTGCGCCCATGGCCCTGTGCGCGCTGACCCGCTCTCTGGGTTCCCTGAGCCTGGCGCCGCCGGCCGTTACCGCCCGGGTCCCGACTCTGCTCCCTACTGTCCAGGTAATCTGATTTACCTGGGAACTACACTGTTTCTGCTTGGGCTGCTGGGGATGAGAGTCTGGTCAGGAACACGTGACCTTGGATAACCTCTGCTCTCCTTTGTAAGTGTTGCTGTCTCTGAGGGCTGGGTTCACCAGACGAGATCCTGACGTGCAAGTGCTTTCGCAGCTCAGCCGCTGTACAAGTTGCAGTAGTAACGTTTATTGTGTGCATGCGATAAACGAGGCAAAATAGATGTTTTCAAATAAACGAACTCCTTTTGACCGTTCTGTAAGGTAGATATTATTTACATATTGCAGATGAGAAAAGCTGACCTGCAGTCCAAGGTCACGCAGCAGTTGGGACTAGGCAGACTGGCTTTAGAGCTTGGTTTTGTTTTCGTTTTGGTGCTGCCAATTGAATCTAGAGCTTCACTCATGGGAAGCATTCCAGTATCACTGAGCTACACGCCCCACCCCAGAGCCTGTTGCTCTTAACCATTATGATATAAGGATGAGTTATTGCTTAGAGAATGCAGAGCAAGATAACAGTAGGTCCCTTGTGAGCAATGGTGAACCACAGAAAAGAGAAGTTGTCAGTCTTGTGGAAATGCCTGGAAACATAAAAGGCAAAAGGCTCTGGTGCTGATGGTAGTATGTAGATGTATGGAATTTACCATCTCTGGAGAAGGAACTTCTTTAAGGAAGGAAAGCCTTCCTGAGAAGAACTTGAACCAAATTTGGCAGGAGATGTTGAAAGGGAGAACATCCCATTGAAGAAATATTTCAAAGGTGAGAGGACCAATTGCACTGGTATTTGTGCACATTTTAAAAGTTGGAGATTTTGGACAGTGGTCTGGGATGTTCCCAGAAGCGAATGAGGCTATAAGCTAAATTTGGTCTGTGCTTTCTCCTTTGATTCTCTGAATGAGATTGCTCTTTATCCTTAGGTACTGAGCAGTGCCCTCCTTCAACTGCCCTCTGCCTTGGTATTGCCTCTTCACCGCCCAGTGCATACTTCTCTGAACCTTAGTGCCAAGTTTGTGTCCTGGAAGAGTCATACCAAGTACACCATTAGACCAGTGAAGATGAGGAAGTCTGGGGGTCGAGACCACACAGGTGGGAAAAGGGCAAGGGACCTTAAGCAGTAAAGGAGGAGAACAAACTAGGATCCTAGATATATGTAGTTTATAGCACTACTATGTATACATATGTCTTTTTGAGACAGGGTCTCCTTGTAGCTTCAACTGACCTGGAACTTAGTATGTAGACCAAGCTGGCCCTGAAACTCACAGAGATCTGCCTGCCTCTGCCTCCTGAGTACTGGGATTAAAGGTCTGCAACACCACGCCGGATAAAACATTTTAATACGGTAATTTTTTTAAAAAAAGATAATTTTGCCAGGTGTGGTGGCACATGCCTTTAGTCCCACCAGTCAGGAGGTAGATCTGCAACACCAAGCCAGGCAGTATCTTCCCAAATTTTGTAACAATTGTTTTGAGTACAATTTATACTGCTTTTTGTTGTTTTGTTTAAGACAAGCTGTCACTATGTAGCCCAGACTGGCCTGGAACTTGCTGTGTAGACTAAGTTGGTCTAAAACTCACAGAGCTCCTCTTGTGTCTGCCTCTAGAGTGCAGGGATCAGAGGTGTGCATCACCACACCCAGCCCTATATGACTCTCAGTAAACTTACTAAATTCAGTAATTTGAAAAGAATTTATCTGTTTCATGCAATTTTAGTATTGATGTTTTTATCAGGATGCTATGCAAATTTTTACTGTTTTGTTTTTTTCTTGATGCTAGGGATCAAACTTAAAGCCTTAACACTTGCAAGGCAAGCTCTCTACCACTGAGCTACACGCTCAACCCTTTGTCATTTTTTTGTTTGTGCTGTATATAATATTGGCAGATATTGCTGTCTGGCCTAGGCTAGGCCTATTCCCTGAACCATGCTGGCCTGGATCACATCCCTGAACTGTCTTGACCATAGGCCACATCCGAGTGCATGGTATTGGTGGGGGCCACAAGCAGCGTTATCGAATGATTGACTTTCTACGTTTCCGGCCGGAGGAAGAGACCAATCCAGGACCCTTTGAGGAGAAAGTTGTCCTAGTCCGCTATGATCCTTGCAGGCAGGTTTGGGATGTGAGATGATAATGGTATGGTCTGAATTACTGCTGTGGAGCTCCTTAGGAAGCATGGGGCTTCTTGATGGACTGCTCACTTGTCCATCATCCTGAACAGGTCGGCAGACATCGCTCTGGTTGCCGGGGGCAGTCGGAAACGCTGGATCATTGCCACAGAAAACATGCAGGCGGGAAATATAATCCTGAACTCTAACCATATAGGCAGAATGGCAGGTAAGAAGTGGCTGCCAGATGTGTGGGCTAGAGGTTGCAAAGGGTCTAGAGCTGATGAAATTCTCTTTTAGTTGCTGCTCAGGAAGGGGATGCACATCCTCTTGGGGCTCTGCCCGTGGGGACCCTTATCAACAATGTGGAAAGTGAGCCAGGCCGAGGAGCCCAGTATATCCGAGCCGCAGGTATGGCAAAAGAAGCTACCCACATTCCACAATTTGGAAGACCAAGGGGTACCTGAGCTCATAATTCTCCAATCCCTTGGGCCCACATCTGATCATGGAGAGGAAAAAAATATGTGCCTGTGTTTTAACATAAAATATGGCATGGAGCCTTCTGTGTTTGACATGTTCCTGAAGGGCAAGGCAAGAGTGGCATGTGACACACGGCCCTCAATGAAGGATGGCAAAGCTGCTTTTCCCTTCCCCAGGGACATGTGGTGTGCTGCTGAGGAAGGTGAATGGGACGGCCATTATCCAGCTGCCCTCTAAGAGGCAAATGCAGGTGTGTGCAGGCACAGGTGGGCAGAGTCAGTAGGGGAGGAATTTGGGGAATGTACCTCTCTAGCTCTCAAGAGTTTTATGATGCTAGGAAGTGTTTCCAGCTGTTCTGTTCTTTGCCACAGGACTAAGAATACCTTGTCAGGTTGGCAACATAATAAAGTAGAAAGAAGTGCCTTTTCTCAATCGGACATGGTAGTGGCACGTACCTGTAATACCAGCATTCCAAAGGCTGAGGCAGAAGGATCAGGCGTTCAAGACCAGCCTGGATTACATGAGACCCTGTTTCAAAAGATGGGAGTGGGGGAAGGGATCCTTTTTCTCAACTACCCAAGACCTGATAATCTATTTTGTTTCCCCCTCCTCTCCTTTCCTTCACTGAGTGTAAGAAGCTACCCAGAGACACACTGCCAACATCGTCATGCCCGCTCCGTGCTCCCATGGTGCATACTTCTCAGCTTTCTCTTGTCAGGTGCTAGATACGTGCATCGCGACAGTAGGCCGAGTGTCCAACGTTGATCATAACCAGCGGGTCATCGGCAAGGCAGGACGGAACCGATGGCTGGGCAAGAGGCCTAACAGCGGGCTGTGGCAACGCAAGGGCGGTTGGGCCGGCCGCAAGATTCGGCCACTGCCTCCTATGAAGAGTTACGTGAAGCTGCCCTCGGCCGCTGCCCAAAACTGATATCCCTGGACGCTAATAAAATGCCCCTCATTTTTATCTGTAACTGGCTTTTTTTGGGGGGGGGCGGGACACAGACTGACCGTCCGTACGGGGCGTATACAAGTTTAGAGGGAAGGGAGAAAAAGAAAGGATGGGCCGCGGGGGGCGGGGGGGGGGAATAAGTGACCTCCCAGGTCTCCCAGTTCTGGCTTTGGGAAACGGGAAGGCACTTCCGGCGGCAGGAGGGAGGACGAAAAGGAAGAGGAAAGGGCGGCGCACCGCCGAGGTGGCACCCCGCGGCTCCGCCCTGGGGATGACCCTGGGCCCCCAGCTTTCCGCTGGGACTGACGGAAATGAGGGGCGGCTGAGCCCCTGAGGGGCGCGCCCCGAGGCCCAGCGTGGACCGCACTCCGCCCTACTGCAGCAGTCCCGCCTTTGCGCCGGCGCGCTGAGGGCAGCCCAGGCCCCGCCCCCTGGCCAGCGGTGGGTCCTGCAGAGGCACGCCCCCTCCCGCCTCTCCGCCTCGACCCCTTCGGGGGGCCCAGGCAGGGCCCAAACTTCGCCTGCGTCTCCGCCGCCTTCGTATGTGCCGCGTCCCTAGCTCTGCAAAGGACAGGTCTCTCGCCAGGACCCCGGCGGACTTAAGGTGGCCAGAGCCCCGCCGCGGCCCCCTGCCCCTACCCCGGGCCCCCGATCGCCCACGGAGCCTCGCGCTCAGCTCGGGTCCCCCTTTCCCTTCCCGCTTCGGGAGTCTCCTCTTTCGGGCCTACCTCCCCCATCCCTTTCAACCAGGTGCGCGCGTCCCCTGCCTTCCCAGAACTTGGCTCCTATCTACCAAGCCTCGCACCCCTGCACCCATCGGGTCCCTGGTGCACCTCGCCCGGGGTTTCCCCTATTCCCGCGGCCCGGCTGCTGCAGTGGCTCCAATCATGGATGCCTCCATCTTCCCTTCCCTCTTCTCCCAGCCCATCGCTCCTTGCCGATGGCCTCTTGACCACCAGTTCTCACGTCTCTGGGACTCAAAACCCTGTGCTTCAACTTAAGATCGCATCCTTTCACACACGCCAACCAACCACCCAAACAACCCCGTGCCGCCTGCTGCCTGCCCCAGGGCCTTGGGCTTCGTTTGTAGATCCAACCCTGCCCTGCCCCACTGCCCCTCCGGTTGTTCAAACCAATCCACTCCAGGCTGCAAGCCTTGGAGATCTTTCTTTTAGCCCCCTAAATGTTGTTCTCGAAGAATAAACAACCCAGCGTTCCTCTGCCTAGTAGTCTCGGTCCCACCCAGCCTGCAGAAAACCCAGCTTTACTCCACCCAGCCTAACAGCTGTTGCTGCATGTGCTCCCCCAACTTCTGGGCAGTTGCTGCATGTGCTCCCCCAACTTCTGGATGTCCTTGATTTTCTGACCTTCCACTCACTCTAGCTTGCCTGTTTTCTTTTCCTTGTGTGTCCCAGGTGCCAGGATGGTGGGGGAACTACGCTACAGGGAGTTCAGGGTGCCCCTGGGGCCGGGCTTGCATGCCTATCCGGATGAGCTGATCCGCCAGCGAGTGGGCCACGATGGCCACCCTGAGTACCAGATCCGCTGGCTCATCCTCAGGCGCGGAGATGATGAGGAAGGGAGCTCCAGCCAAGTGGACTGCAAGGCTGAGCACATCCTGCTGTGGATGTCTGACAACGAAATCTATGCCAACTGCCACAAGATGCTAGGCGAGGATGGCCACGTCATTGGGCCTTCGAAGGAATCTGCAGAGGCCGGGACCTTGGACAAATCTGTGCTGGGGGAGATGGAAACAGATGTGAAATCCTTGATTCAGAGGGCCCTTCGGCAGCTGAAGGAGTGTGTGGGCACTGTCCCTCCTGCCCCTTTGCTTCACACAGTCCACGTCCTCAGTGCCTATGCCAGCATTGAGCCCCTCACTGGGGTCTTCAAAGACCCAAGAGTCCTAGACTTGCTCATGCACATGTTAAGTAGTTCCGATTATCAGATCCGATGGAGTGCAGGCCGGATGATACAAGCCCTATCCTCCCATGATGCTGGTGAGGGGCAGTTTGGGGAGGAAGGGAAAACAGGAGAGGGTCTGGGTCGGCTCAGGGATTCACAAGACACTGTGGCAGGAGCTTCTGACTTCATCAGTACGTAAATGATTCTGTTTTCTTAAGTTTGGAGAAAAAGCAGGGGAAGGGGTTGAAGATGAGGATGTTTGTGGAAAGAGGAAAGACCAAATTAGGAAAATTTCATATTTATTGTTTTGTTTTATTGTGACGGTTTCCCTGTAGCACCACCTGGCCTGGAACTTACTACATAGACCAGAGTGGCCTCACAGAGATCCACCTGTGTCTGCCTCTCAAGTGCTGCGATTAAAGGCATGCACCACCACACCTGGCAATTGGCTTTATTTTTTAGGATTTTATTTTATTTTTAATTATATGTATATGTGTTTCTTGATATGAGTATGCACATGTGTGTGCAGAGGCCAGAAAGGGGTGTTGGATTCTCTGAAGCTGGAGTTACAGGCGGTTAGGAGCCACCCAACATGGGTGCTGGAAACCCAACTCTGGTCCTCTGCAAGAGCAGTATACACTCTTACAGGCTGAACCATCTCTCCTGCCCCATCCATTGGCTTTTTATGCAAAAGAAGAGCTTAGGGTTTCGACCATTGCAGATTGTGTGTGTATACGATAGTAAACTAGCTTTTGAAGCAAATCAACATTATACCATTCTCACAGAGTGGTGGCAATAAGATTGTTACTGAGTAAATAGAAAATCTAGGAAAGATACCTAGGAAGGGTTGGGTGAGGGAGCTGGTACTGATTGGGGTGTGGGTTCCAGGGACTCGGACCCAGATCCTTCTGACATTGAGCCAACAAGAGGCCATTGAGAAACACCTGGATTTCGACAGCCGCTGTGCCCTGCTAGCACTCTTTGCACAGGCCACTCTCTCTGAACACCCCATGTCATTTGAGGGCATTCAGCTGCCACAGGTATCTTGTGAGGGAATGGGTGGTGGGAGATCAGGACAAGAAAGATTTAAAGACCTGACCCTTGCTTTTGTCATAAAGGACACTGTGGAAAGGGGGGCAAAAGATGAGGCAAGATGGGTGACGGTCATGGTATATCCCACAGGTCCCAGGAAGGCTGCTGTTCTCCCTGGTAAAGCACTATTTGCATGTCACCTTCCTCCTGGATCAGATGAATGGCAGTGCTGGAGAACAAGGAGCCCAGAACAACTCTGTCCCTGAGGAGTTGAATGTGGAGCGGGGCCAGCTGGAGCTGGAATTCAGTATGGCCATGGGCACGCTGATCTCTGAACTGGTGCAGGCCATGCGCTGGGACTGGGCCTCAGGCAGACCAGGGAATTTGGCACGGTCCTCCTCTTCCATCTTCCAGCCTCAGCTTGTAGATGCCAGCTCAGAGTTCCCACACCCCCAGGCCCAGCACTCCTTCAGGAGGTCAAGGAGGTTTCGCCCCCGTACGGAGTTTGCAAGTGGCAATACCTATGCCTTATATGTGCGGGACATGCTGCAGCCAGGGATGAGGGTGCGGATGCTGGAGGATTATGAAGAGATCGCTGCTGGGGATGAAGGTGAATTCCGGCAGAGCAACAATGGTGTACCTCCCGTGCAGGTGAGGGTCACATAAATGGTGGGACACTGTGAAGAGTCTATTCTGGGTGGGGCATAGCTGAGCCTTCTATATAGGGGCCTCTGATTAGCCACACAAGAAGAAAGTTCATATCAAAATGGCAAAGGGGTCAACAATTGAAAGGAGGGACTACTTGGGAGGACTGAGAATATCTGGGTGTAGAAGGTTGAGACCCATGAAGAAAGTGAGCAGGAAGTTGGGCTGCTCAAGGCCAGGTGGAAGCATAAAGTCATTCACCATCAAAGATAAGAGTTGCACACACCTTTAGTCCCAGCACTTGGGAGGCAGAGGCAAGTGGATCTCTGTGAGTTCAAGGTCAGCCTGGTCTACATAGTGAGTTCAGCCCAGCTGGGACTACAGGAAGACCCTGTCTCAAAACAAAAAACAAAAGATAGAATAAGAAGAGCCAGGTGTAACAGCCCATACCTGTTATCCCAGACAGGTGGGTGGGCAAGGCAGAAGGATCAAGGCCAGCCTTGGCTACATAAGTTTGAGGCCAGCCTGTGCTACATAAGATTGTCTCAAATGGAAAAAATAAAACAAAAATAGAATGGAGGGAGAGGAGAGGTAGAGCCCATTGCAGAAGAGAAAGGTGTCCTTTGAGTGTCTATCTATATATACTAGTGTTTGGCCCTTCAGAGGCAGTCATAATATGGGCTGTGAGCCCTCATCATTGGGTCATAGCCAGTCATGAGTGAGTTCTCCCTCCCCCTTCCCTCTTGTTTTTCCCCATTCTTCAGGTGTTCTGGGAGTCAACAGGCCGTACCTACTGGGTACACTGGCACATGCTAGAGATCTTGGGCTTTGAGGAGGACATTGAGGCTGATGAGTACCAGGGAGCAGGGCTCAGTGGAGCCTGGGGTGGAGGTAAACTCTGGGAGGAAATGGGTCAGCTCTGAGCAGAGGTCTAGCAGGGTGGGCAGTGACATGGCTGTGTGCCATGGCCCATTTCCACAGCCCCACCCTCCTGGCGCTGGAAGCCCTTGACTGAACTCTACGCTGTGCCATATGTGGTGCCTGAGGAGGAAGACACTGAAGAGAGTGAACATCTGGCCCAGGCTGAGTGGTGGGAGCTCTTCTTCTTCATCAAGAAGCTAGATAGATCAGACCACCAGCAGGTTGTGCAGATCCTGCAGGAAAACCTGGATGGGGAGGTACACTCATCAGAGGTGCCACCAGCACCTCTGGGCCCTTGATAAGTGTGTGGAAGGCTTGGGTGAGGGAGTAGAGGTCAGCTACCCTCAGTGCCCTACAGAGGAGGGGTCTGGAATGTTCACAGATCAGGTGTTGGTGGGCTGTGTGGGAGGAGTGGGCTGCCAGTTATGAGCGGTTTGGGGTAGAGGATGCGTGTGTGTGTGTGTGTGTGTGTGTGTGTGTGTGTGTAGGGAGATCCCTACCTCTACTATGTGTCTTGGAGTGCATCTGTCCATACAGCTGCCTACAGTGTGAGTTTCTCCCCAATAGCACATTCTGAATGATGAAATCCTGCCTTATCTGACCGTACCCATTGAGTTGGCCCAGGACCTGCTGGTGGCTCTCCCTCAGCGACTTGATGACAGTGCCCTTAGGGACCTGTTCAACTGCTATGTCTACAGGAAGTATGGGCCTGAGGCCCTAGCAGGGCAGCTGGCCTACCCATCCCTTCTAGACGCCCAGCAAGATGTATTCCTGTTCAAACCCCAGCCCCAGGAATCAGAAGATGCAGCCAGAGTGGAAGGTATGGGTGCCCTGCAGCCAGAAGCTGAGAGACCTGCCTTTGTGTTTCTACTAACTGTGGTGCCATCTTTACTGGAAGAGATGATACCTTAATCAAAATCCAAAACTTAAAGAATAAAGGAGGAAAGCTAGGTGTGGTGGTATGTGTCTGTAATCTCAGCTACTGAGGATGCTGAGGCAGGATAATTGCTTGAGTTTAGAAGTTCCATGGAGGCCAGAAGAGGGCATCGTATCCCCTGGAACTGGAGTTACAGAGGATTATTAGCCACCATGTGGATGCTGGGAACCAAACTTGGATGTTCTGCAAGAGCAACCAGTGCTCTTAACCAATGAGCCACCTCTCCAGCCCCTATTTTTATTTTTATTGTATGTGTATGACTGTTTTGCATGCATGGATGTTAAGTATACTATGTTTATGCAATGTCCACAGAGCCTAGAAGAGGGCATTGGATCCCCTTCAACTGGAGTTAGGGATGGTTTTTGACTGCCATGTGGGTGTTGGGAATGCATCTGCAGTTCTCTGGAAGAGCAGTTAGTGTTGTTAACCACTGAGCCATCTTTCCAGCCCTTTTTTTCTCATTTTTTTGAGGCAATTTCTTGCTGGCTTAGAACTTGCCAAATAGGCTAGGCTGGCTGGCCAGAAGACTCCAGGGACCTGCTTTTCTCTCTACCTCTGCAGCACTGGGATTACAAACATGCATCTCTATGTCCAATTTTGTTACTGTTTTTAAAGATTATATTTTTATTTTTTAGTTATCTGTATGTGTGATTATGTGTATGTGTGTATGACTGTTTTGGAGTATGTGCACTTGAATGCAGAGCCCAAGGAGGTATCAGATCCTCTGGAGCTGGAGTTATAGGTAGACAAATGTGGGTGCTGGGAACTGAACTCAAGTCCTCTGGCAGTACATGCTCTTAACCATTGAGCCATCTTTCTAGCTGTCTAGCTTTTTAAAATACTTTTTTTTTTTTTTTTTTTTTTTTTTTTTTTTTTTTTTTTTTTTTTTTTTGGTCTTTCTGAGACAGGGTCTCCCAAGCCCCAGCTGTCCTGGAACTGTCTTTTTGAGACAGGGTCTCCCTGTAGCCCCAGTTGGCCTGGAACTCACTATGTAGACCAGGCTGGCCTTGAACTCACAGAGATCTGCCTGCCTCTGCCTCCCAAATGCTAGGATTAAAAGCATGTGCCACCACGCCCAGCTAAAATACATTTATTTAATGTGTGTATGCACATGCATGTGCATGCACACAGCAGTCAGAGGATAATTTGTGGAAATTTATTCTCCTTTCACTGTCGGAGGTCCAGGGACGGAACTCAGGTTGTCAGGTTTGGCAGTAAGTGCCTTTACCCATTGAGCCATCTCACTGACCCTGTCCAGCTCTTTTTTAATGTGGAGTCTGGGGAATTGAACTTAGGTACAAGCACTTTACCTCCTGAGCTCTCTCCCCAGGCTTGCTACTTAGTTATTTTAGGAATAGAAAGCCACAAACCTATTTTCAAATTGTATTAAGAGGTGCTATAAGCTCACAACTAACTTTTAGGAGTCTGTGTGTGGGCACCCATACCATGCTGTGTGTGTGGAAATCAGATGACAACTTACAGAAGTCAATTCTCCCCTTCCACCATGGGTCCTGGGGGTTGAACTCATGTCCTCAGACTTGGCAGCAAGTGCCTTTACCTGCTGAGCTATCGTGCCAGTCTAACAATTCTTACTATACCCTTGTTTTTACAGCAAAAGAACGCCCATCTCAGAGTGCCAGCCCTGCCTTGCAGCAACTGGTGGATGGTTTGGGTCCATCTGGGAAGCTCCTTGTGGATCTGGAGCAAGCTCTCAGCTCTGTGGTGCCCCAGGAAAGTGAGGTCAAGCAATGCATGCTGCAGCTCCAGAGGCAGCCCCAACCCTTCCTCACACTGATGCAGAGCCTGGATACTCCAGCCACTAACAAAGCCCTACATCTGACTGTGCTGAGGTAATAGAGAAGTGAGGGGCACGGCTGGGCACAGGGGGCCTCGAGGCAGCAGTACACTGTACATCTCTCTGCCTTTCCTCCCTCCCAGAATCCTGAAGCAGCTGGTGGACTATCCCGAGGCGTTGCTGCTACCTTGGCATGAAGCCATGGATGCATGCATGACCTGCCTACGGTCTCCTAATACTGACCGAGAGGTACCCCTGTCCCACTCTGGGGAGATGCTGGGAGGGGGAGGACACAAGGCAGCCACTGGTGAGGCAAACCCCCTGGGCAAGGCTTGAAGGGCACGATGGAGCCTTTGTGCTCTTGGTTAAGTTTTTCTTTTAAAATTGAATTTTTTTTTCAATAGGTCATACATTCATAAGGTTCACAAATCAAAATGATACAACCAGATATGCATTGAGAATTCTGGCTCCCACCTGATTTCTGTTCTCTCAGTGTTCTCCCTACATCACTCATATTAATTCAAATATGTGTCCTGTGTTTTCTCATGCAAATAGGAGCAAGAACTCCTTTTTTGGCTGGGTCTTTAAGAGGAAGGGGCATGAGGAAGGCAGAATCCCCCAGAGAAGCTCCAGGAGGTCTGGGTGCAGAAGGCCTCAAGAAGAGTCAGAGGGGGCTAGAGAGAAGGCTCAGTGGTTATGAGCACTGACTGCTCTTGCAGAGGACCCGGGTTCGATTCCCAGGATCCACATGGCAGCTAACAACTATCTCTAACTCCAGTTTTAAGGGATTCAACGCCCTCTTCTGACCTCTGCAGGCATTGCATGACACTAGTGCACTTACATACATGCAGGCAATACACTCATACATAAAAAAGAAAAATAATAAAGTACTTTTTTAAAAAAGAAGCTAGGTATGGTAGCGCACGCCTTTAATCCCTGCACTTGGGAGGCAGAGGCAGGCAGATCTCTGTGAGTTCGAGGCCAGCCTGGTCTACATAGCGAGTTCCAGGTCAGCTGGGGCTACAGGGAGACCCTGTCACAAAAAAAAAAAAAAAAAAAAAAGGTTGGAGCTGGAGAGATGGCTCAGCAGTTAAGAACACTGGTTGTTCTTGAAGAAGACCTGGGTTTGAATCCCAACACCCACATGGCAACTAACAACTGTCCGTAACTCCAGTTCCAGGGGATTTGATGGCTTCTTCTGTCCTCTGCGGGCATTGCATGACACGGGTGCACTTACCTACGTGCAGGCAATACACACATATACATGAAATAAAAGTAATAAATAAAATATTTTTTAAAAAAGAGGGGTCTGGCTGGGCATGGTGGTACACACCTTAAATCTCAGCACTCAGAGCTCTGTGAGTTCAAGACCAGCCTGGTCTATAGGTGATAGTGAGTTCCAGGCCAGCTGGGGCTACAAGAAGACCCTGTCTCAAAAAGATCCCCCCCCAAAAAAGGAGGGTCAGAAAACTGACCTTTGTGTGTCACAGAGATTTGAGTTTCCAAGCTGGACTCACTGAGGGTTCATAGACAAATTCAGGCCTTCTCCATTCCCTCCCAACCTTCCAAGTGTCTATACTGGGAACCTGAGCATCACAAAGCCAACTGGCAACTAGTCTCAGGACAGCTGGGCCTACATGAGAAAACTCCGTGTTGCTCTCTGCACCTGTTCCCAACATGCTCAGTGGCCAGAAAGCTCAAGGGGCAGGAAGGGCTCCTCCCTTTTGGCTTGTTTTTGGTTATCTAACTCCACCTGGCTTTTATATCTCTCTCATTCTTGTCATTTTCCTTCCTCACTCTGTCTTGATCACTGCAGCACACCCAGCACGTAGCACATAGTGGGTATATACCACTGCAGGTGTCCATGCCTGTCCCCTCTATTCACTGCCCCCTGATGTCCCCTTCTAGGTGCTCCAGGAACTGATTTTCTTCCTGCACCACCTGACCTCCACAAGCAGGGACTATGCTGTGATACTAAACCAGCTGGGAGCCCGAGATGCCATCTCTAAGGCCCTGGAAAAGCACATGGGGAAGCTTGAGTTGGCTCAGGAGCTTCGGGACATGGTGTTCAAGTGTGAGAAGCACGCCCATCTCTACAGGAAGCTCACCACCAACATCCTAAGTGGCTGCATCCAGGTTAGGAAGAAGGGCATGGTGAAGCCTGGGGATTTTAATCCCAGCACTTGGGAGGCAGAGGCAGGTGGATCTCTGTGAGATGGAGGCCAATCTGATCTACATAATGAGTTCCAAGCCTACTGTAGCTACAGGGAGACCCTGTCTTAAAAAAAAAAAAAACAACCAGGCGTGGTGGTGCCTGTCTTTAATCCCAGCACTCGGGAGGCAGAGGCAGGTGGATCTCTGTGAGTTCGAGACCAGCCTGGTCTACATAATGAGTTCCAGGTCAGCTGGGGCTACAAGGACACCCTGAAAAACAACAGTAACTACACACACACACACACACACACACACACACACACACACAAAGGGATTAGAGAGATGGCTCAGTGGTTAAGACCACTGGCTACTCTTGCAGAGGACCTGGGTTTGATTCCCAGCACCCACGTGGTAACTGATAATCATCCAGTTGCAAGGGATCTGATGCCCCTTTTGACCTCCATGGGCATGCAATTGACACGGGTGTACTTACACACATGCGTGCAATATACTCATATACATAAAAGAAACTAGTAAATAAAAAATATATATTAAGAGTCTAGAGAGATGGCTCAGAGGTTAAGAACACTGGTTGTTCTTTCAGAAGACCCAGGTCCGAATCCCAGCATCCACGTGGCAGCTAACAACTGTCCGTAACTCCAGTCCCAGGGGATCCGACAGCCTCTTCTGACCTCCGTGGGCATTGCAGGACACAGGTGCACTTACCTACATGCAGGCAATACACGCATACACATAAAATCAAAAAATAAATAAAATTTATATATATATTTTTTAAATATGGAACCCAAGCAGTTGCAGGGGAAGAAGATACATTCCTGAAGTTGGGAATGTAGGTGACTGAGGTGAGCCTGCTCTCCACTGTTTGACCTCCATGTGTGCTGTCATGCAACTCTGATCTTCCCTGCACTCTCCTTTCTCTGATGTTCTGGCTGCAGATGGTGCTGGGCCAGATTGAAGATCACAGAAGAACCCATCGGCCCATCCAAATCCCTTTCTTTGATGTGTTCCTCAGATATCTGTGCCAGGGTTAGTGCCTATCCCCCAACTTCTCAGCATCACCCATTTTCCCCTCTACACCTACCTGGTTGTGACCGCCAGCCCTTCCCACTTTTCCCCAGGCCCCAGCGCAGAAGTGAAGGAGGACAAGTGCTGGGAGAAGGTAGAGGTGTCGTCCAACCCACATCGGGCCAGCAAACTGATAGATCGCAACCCCAAGACCTACTGGGAGTCCAGTGGCAGTGCTGGGTCCCACTCCATCACCTTGCACATGCGTCAGGGTGTCCTCATCAGGTAATGCACTCCTCTTCGTACACTCGGCCACATATCTATGCTTTCTCGTGTTTGTCTTGCTGGAAGCACCACACCTCTATCATCTGGCAGTGTGCATGGCAATGACAGGTTCCAGTTCCCGTTGGCTCTTCTTCCTCACTCCCAGGCAGCTGACTCTGCTGGTGGCTGGTGAAGACGCAAGCTACATGCCAGCACGGGTGGTGGTGTGTGGGGGCGAAAGCACCAGCTCCATCAACACAGAACTCAACTCGGTAGGGACCCCTGTGCCATTAGGGGATCATTAGGGATCCCTTTGTAGGATCTATACTCTAGCCCCACCCTAAACTCATAACCTACCCAACCTGAGTGCTCCAGAAACTAGAGTCCTTTATCCCTGTGCCTATGTGATGGTTATCAGGCTTGAAGCAGTGGGGGCGGCACCAGGGCCCCTTTGTCAGAAGGTCTGTGTCCCTGGGGTGGAGAGAGAGCAACTTGGCAAGGGGGTTGAAGATGATAAGGTTACCCTTAGCAGCCCTAGCCACACGGGTGGAGGTGACAGCCCTCTTTCTCCCTTGCCAGGTGAATGTGATGCCATGTGCCAGCCGGGTGATCCTCCTGGAGAACCTCACCCACTTTTGGCCCATCATCCAGATTCGCATAAAGCGCTGCCAGCAGGTGTGGCTTGGGTGCGAGGTGCGGCTCCTTTGTACAGGTCTCTGAGCCCCGCACTTCTCTTGTGTATAGTGGTGGGATGAAACCCAGGGAAGACTACTACATGCTAAGTAAGGGCTCTATCCCAGCGCCCCTGAGCCCTGACACCTTTGCACATCTTGAGCCTGGGTCTATGGCAGCTCCAGAGCCGAGGCTCAAGAAGAGCATAACCGACCACAGGACCCTAGGAGGCTGTGGGACAAACACGGTCCATTTGTGTAACAGGGCGGCATTGACACACGCATTAGGGGACTGGAGGTCCTGGGCCCCAAGCCTACCTTCTGGCCAGTGTTCCGGGAGCAGCTGTGTCGACACACACGCCTCTTCTACATGGTTCGGGCTCAAGCCTGGAGCCAGGACATAGCAGAGGACCGAAGGAGCCTCCTGCACCTGAGTTCTAGGTCTGTGAGAGCTTACCTCGTGTGTGTGCCTGTGTGGAAGGTCAGGTTATGACAAATGAATTGTGGGTGGGGTACTCAAAAGGCATGAAATGGGATTTCATAGGGTTTGGAGAAGGTTTTGAACATTCTGAAGTGTGGGGATGAAAAGATAAGAGATTTCCCCAAGTGCTGGGAATGGAGTTTGCCAGTTAGCTCAGGTCTCTTCTGAAAGACTGAGTGGGAAAGCACTGGACTTTGTGCTAGGATGCACACTGAGCTATGTAAACCTTGAGCCCTGACACCTCCTTCTCCTTTTCCTCAGACTCAACGGGGCTCTGCGCCAGGAGCAGAATTTTGCTGACCACTTCCTCCCTGATGATGAGGCTGCCCAAGCACTGGGCAAGACCTGCTGGGAGGCGCTGGTCAGCCCCCTGGTGCAGAACATCACCTCTCCCGGTAACCACTCCCACACCTGGCCCCATCCATCAGGTCCTTCTTGCTCCAGACACATCTGGGTTCTGCTCTTGGCGCTTTGGTGCCTGTGTTCATCACCCGAGTCCCCTCCTCCTAGTCTCTCCTCCTCATTCCCTATAATTGCTCTTTCCTATCCTCTGGTTTAGCTCAACTTCTCCACTTCCCTGGAGACAAGCCACTTGGTTTGTTTTTCTCAACCACCAGATGAAGATGGCACAAGCTCCCTCGGCTGGCTGCTGGATCAGTATCTGGAGTGCCGGGAGGCTGCCCACAACCCTCAGAGCCGTGCTGCAGCTTTCTCCTCACGGGTGCGCTGCCTCACCCACCTGCTGGTGCATGTGGAGCCCTGTGAGGCAGCACCTCCCATGGTGGCCATCCCACAACCCAGTGAGTACTGGGGATTCCAGCAGGGGCTCTGCTTAGGAGCGATTCCCTGGGTCTCCCAGTTGATGAGCTCCAGGCTTCTGTCCCTCCTCATCCTCCTCTCACTATGTGTGCTCAGCCTGTTCATCTTCTGGTTTGTTCACTCCATCCAGGAACATCACTTTGAGGGACAATGTGTTGGGGAAGCCTTCAGGACTTGATCTTGGGGAGCTAAGGAACTGTACCTCTTTGCCTCTGTCACTTGCTGTCTTTACAGAGGGCAGAAACAGAAGCCACGACTGGAGCTCCTTGGCTACCCGGGGCCTTCCAAGTAGCATCATGAGGAACCTGACCCGCTGTTGGCAGACTGTGGTAGAGGAGCAGGTGGGCAGGAGCAGGTGTCAGGGGTTACGGGGTGCTGTGATGGTGCCATATTGGCTCCCCCTTCATACTCCTGTCCCTTCTTTTCAGGTGAACAACTTTCTGACGTCATCCTGGCACGATGATGACTTTGTGCCACGCTATTGCGAACATTTTTATAACCTGCAGAAGTCGAGCTCTGAGCTGTTTGGTCCACGAGCTGCCTTCTTGCTGGCCATGCAAAATGGCTGTGCTGATGCCTTGCTGAGGCTCCCTTTTCTCAGAGTAGCCCACGTAAGCCCCTTTCTATACCTCACCTGGTCCTCTCCCTGTAAACTCCTGCCTCCCCATGGAACACCTCAGTCCTCAGTCTATGATGAATAGGCACTTGTATGTAGCCATATTATTGAAAAATGGAAGAAAATCATTATATGCAACATGCTAGTCTAATATATATTTATATTATATAAATTCTATGACTATGCATGGTTTATCTGTTTGCTTACAAGCAACTATACTGCTTTTTCTACTTCCTTTTTTATTTATTTTTATTTATTGATTTATTTGAGACAGGGTCTCTCTGTAGACCTAGCTGGCCTGGAGCTCGCTTTGTACACCAGGCTGACTTCAGTCTCACAGAGATCTATCTGCCTGCCTCCACCTCCCGAGTGCTGAGATTATAGACATGAGCCACTATTCCCGGCTTAAGATTTACTTTTAATTTTGCACACATATCTGTGTGTGTCTATGTGTGAGAGGCTGTGCATGTGAGTGCAGGTGCCTGTGGAGGCCAGAAGAGAATGTCAGATACCTGGGATCTAGAATCACCACTGATGTGCTGCCCAGTGTGGGTGCTACCACTGTACTCTAGTCCTCTATAAGAGCAGTACTTGCCTTTAATCGCTGAGCCATCCGGCTTTGTTTTTTTTCTTTTTTCTCAAAGATAATATTTTAGTTGATCACTAGTGTTAGCAAAATGGTATTTTTTAAATTTATTATTTATTGTGTTTATGTTGTGTTATTGTTTTTATGTTGTGTGTTTGAGTGTTTTGCCTGCATGTATGTAAGTACTTCCATGTCATGCAATGCCCACAGAGATCAGAAGAGAGCACTGGATTCCCCTGGAACTGGAGTTATGGATAGTTGTTAGCCACTATGTGGGTGCTGGGAATCGAACCCAGGTCCTTTGCAAGAACAGCCAGTGCTCTTAACCACTGAACCATCTCTCCAGCCTGAGTTTTTAGTTTTGAGACAGGGTCTCACTATGTAGCCCTGGCTGGTCTGAAACTCACTATGTAGACCAAGCTAGTGTCAAACTCAGACATCTGCCTGCCTCTGCCTCCAAAGTCCTGGGAGCAAAATGATACTGATTTTTATGGGCTGATATTTCCTGTATGGTTTTGTTATGACATTGGGGATCAAAGCCAGGTCCTTCTTCATGATTGGCAAGTGTTATACCTCAGAGCAATATCCCTAGCCTCCTCCCTCTTTTCTTTTTTAATATTTTATTATTTTTATTTTTTGTGTATGAGTGTTTGCGGGTATGGAAATGTACCCATGTTGTGCAATGCCAGTGGAGGTTCGAAGAGGGTGCCGGGTTCCCCTGGAATTGGAGTTAGGGATGTTTGTTAGCCACCATATGGGTGCTGGGACCTGAACCTGGGTCCTCTGCAAGAGCAGCAGTGCTCTTAACTGCTGTGTCATCTATCCCTACCCCCAGTTTTCTTTTGACTGTTATATTAGATTTTTTTCAGTGTTCCTATTTGTCCTCCTTTGTAAATGTATTCATGCCACCTAGTGGATATGCTATGATTTACTTCATTATTCACATTCTTGAATTTATTACATTGATTTATTTCATATGTATATGTGTATGGAGGTCAGGAGACAACTTGAGTGAGTAGATTCTCTCTATCGACCATGTGGGTTCTGACAATCAAACTCAACTGCCCTTACCTGCTGAGCAATCTCTCTAGCCCATCACTATTCCCATCCTTAAAACAAGAGCCGGAGAGATGGCACAGCTGTTGAGAGATCTCTCTGTGCTTCCTGCTCTTCCACAGGATCCGAGTTTGGTTCCCAGACCCCATCTTTTTTTTTTTTTTTTTTTTTTTTTTGGTCTTTTTGAGACAGGGTCTCCCTGTAGCCCCAGCTGTCCTGGAACTCACTATGTAGACCAGACTGGCCTTGAACTCACAGAGATCTGCCTGCCTCTGCCTCCCCAGTGCTGGGATTAAAGGTGTGGGCCACCACACCCAGCTCCATCTTTCTTTTATTAGACAGGTTCTCATGTAGCCCAGGCTGATCTAACTGGATATGTAGCTGAGGATGGCCTGGAATTCCTGCTTCTCCTGCCTCCATCAGGGATAATAGATGTATGCCAGTATGAAAGTGCTTGTCAAGCTGAGGCTTAGCTCACTGGTAGCATGTGTGCTTACTAGTGTGCTCTGGGTCTTGTTTTGATCCCCAATACCCCCTAAAAGAAGGATGGTGAGGCTGACCAGTTAATGGAGCTCCCGCCATTCATGCCCACATTCTCTGTCCTCACTGTCAGACTCACCTGCTCTACTAGCTCAGTTGTGCTTTTCTTGTGCTCCCCACTCAGGTGACTGAGCAGTTTGCCCGGCACATTGACCAGCGGATCCAGGGCAGTCGAATGGGTGGAGCCCGGGGGCTGGAGATGCTGGCACAATTGCAGAGATGCTTGGAATCAGTCCTAATTTTCTCTGGCCTGGAGATAGCCACCACCTTTGAGCACTACTACCAGTGAGTGTAGCTCTGTCGAGTAGGAGATGGGGTAGGCTGACTGGCAGGGCCTGAGTCTGAGATACAGGCAGGCCAGTGCCCTGGAGTGAAGAGTTTGGGCCGAGCTGGCCCAGAAACTGAGACCTGGCCCGGGCTGTGTTTGCTGCAGGCATTACATGTCTGACCGTCTCCTGGGCGTAGGCACAAGCTGGCTAGAGGGGGCTGTGCTGGAGCAGATTGGTCCCTGTTTCCCAAACCGGCTCCCCCAGCAGATGCTACGGAGCCTGAGCACCTCAGAGGAGCTGCAGCGCCAGTTCCATGTTAACCAGCTCCAGCGGCTCGATCAGGAACTCCTGAAGCTGGAGGACACAGAGAAGAAAATACAGGTGGGCCCTAGGGAAGGGATGAGCAGGTGAGAAAGTAGAAAGGAGGGGAAGCATGGAGCAAGCAGGAGGAGGCCCTCGGCATTTGGGACCTCTGTCCCCTTTCAGGTAGGTCATGAGGAGGACAATGGCATGGAGCATGAGAGGAAGGAGGAGGACATTGGGGCGGCAGCAGCCATGGCTATAGCAGGAGAGGAGGACTACGAAGAGGAGGAGGAGGAAGAGGAGGAGGAGGACCTCTACTATGAAGGGACAATATCAGAAGTATCTGTGCTTGTCTTATCTCCACGCTACTGGCCTGTCTCTTCCATCTGCCACATGCTGAACCCCACAACCTGCCTGCCCTCCAACCTGAGGGACACCTTGAACTGCTACTCTAACTTCTACAGCAAGAGTAAGTGGCTTAGCAGAGGGACTGGGGCTTGGGGACAGGGTACTAGGAAAGGGACCTGGAATTTGGGTAGATGTTGAGGTTGGGAGCCTAGATGGCCACAAACATGATCTTTAAAGATAAGACTTCTTGCCGGGCATGGTGGCGCACACCTTTTTTCCCAGCACTCGGGAGACAGAGGCAGGCGGATCCCTGTGAATTCAAGGCCAGCCTGGTCTACATAGTGAGTTCCAGGACAGCTGGGGCTACA